AAGAAACTTATGCGTCGCTAACGACGGGAGATAAGCCAGCTGTCGATGATTTCATGTTAGAGGATGGTTACTTATTCAAGTCTCAGAAGTTGTGTATTCCCAACACCTCTCTTCGTGAATTTCTTGTGTAGGAACTACACGCAGGAAGCTTAGCTGGACATTTTGGGCAGGCTAAGACCATTGCAGCTGTCGAGTATAGATTTTTCTGGCCCAGCCTTAAGCGTGATGTCAATAGACTGATCAAACGTTGTCATACCTACCAGCTAGCTAAACAAAGAAAACAAAACATGGGCCTCTACATTCCACTCCCTGTCCCTAACTGCCCTTGGCAAGACGTTAGTATGGACTTTGTCCTAGGACTACCCAAAACCGTTAGGAAGCACGATTCCATCTGTGTCGTAGTAGATCCCTTCTCTAAGATGATCCATTTCCTCCCTTGTGCTAAAACTTTCGATGCCTCTAGGATTGCCAAACTTTACTTTAATGAGATTGTCCGATTCCATGGACTCCCAAAGACAATTGTGTCAGATCGAGACGTGAAATTTACGAGCTATTTCTGGAAAACTTTATGGATTAAGATGGGTACTAAGCTGCAATTCTCCACCGCCTTACGGAAGTCGTTAATAGGAGCCTTGGGAACCTTCTTAGGGCCCTAGTAGGTAAGAACATTAGGGATTGGGATTCCAAACTACCCATTGCTGAATTTGCCTACAATAATTCCATCAATCGGACCACCGGTATGAGCCCAGCTGAGATTGTTTAGGATACCAACCCAGGCAACCAATAGATTTACTCCCCATGAGTCCTAAGCTTAGGGTGTCAGAGTCTGCATCTGCATTTGCATTGCATATCCAGGAATTGCATCGAGAAATTAATAAAAGAATTGTGCAAAGTAATGAGAAATACAAACTTAATGCTGATCTTAGGCGATGCTTCAAGGAGTTCGAAGTTGGAGACTATGTCATGGTTCGGATTCGTCCGGAGCGGTTCCCACCAAGGGCCGTTAAGAAACTACATGCTAAGAGCGCAGGTCCCTTTAAAATAACTTCAAAAATAAACAGTAATGCCTATGTTTTGGACCTTCCTGAAGGTTTCAACATGAATCACACGCTTAACATTGAGGATCTAGTAGCCTTTGAGGGCTCTGATTTTAACCCTGAAAATCCACTAAATCTTGAGCCTTGTGAGTCCATACCTAGTGAGATCCCAAGCCTACCTCCACTTCCCAAAATTCTCACATTACCTAATAAGGAGAAGATTGAAACCATACTCAGTGATGAGATCATTTCCACCAGGAATGGCGAGCGCCAAAGATACCTAGTTCGTTGGAGAGGAAAGCCAGAGACGGAGGATACGTGGCTAGAGCGTGAGGAGATACAAAGACTGGACCCCGACCTTCTGGAGCTGTACGAGAGTTCTCAGGACCCTTGCTCGACAGGGTCGAGCTTACTCCCACCCGGGGAGAATGATGGGGACATCAGATTTCGACACATGTACCATCGCCGGAGACGCCGATCGACGGCCATGATTCAGAGTCTTTATTTTTGATGTTTTATTTTATTCATGTCATTTCTAGTTCATGTTTTCCTTTTGTACCCCTATGAGGGAATTAATGCTTATTGTAGCCCAAGGGCGTTGTTGTCTTTATGTATTTTATTTCCAGTTATCCTATATATGGGCTTTATCATTGTATTTGAGATTATTGCTTAATGAATGAAAATTTTTCTTCCTTTGTTCTCTTTGTGAGTGCATGAAGATCTCTTGGTTAGTTCTTCTAGTGAGTTCTCTAATTTTTCTTTTCTTTTAATCACCTTCTCATCTTCCCAAGAAAGCTCCACAAATTTCCCTTCCCCTCACCCTAGCCGCCGCCCCCCTCCTTGGTTCTCCCGCCACCGGCCACCCTCCCCACCACGGCCGACCACCTCGCCGCCGGCCACCTTTCCTCCCCACCTCCCCTCCCTATGCCGCCCCAACTCCTCTCATGAAATTGAATTTTAGAATTCAATTTCTTTCCAAATTGGGAAATTCCAATTTAGGAAAGTTTTGAAATTTTGAACTCAATTTCATCCCAAATGAAATTGGATGTATGAGATGAAATTTTCCTAGTCATCGTCTCAATTTGGAATTCTCC